AAGTTTTTTCACCACTATACTCTGGATAGAAGAGTCCCGAATAGAATCCTAAGAATCAAGAAGTTAGATGGTGTGTGGGCTGAGGACCAAAAGGAAATCCAATGGGTCTTTAGAGAGTACTTTTCGAATCTTTTTGAAACTTCAAACCCAATAAACTATGATCAGGTGTTAGATCATTTAAGTGTTAGCTTGGATGAGGAGGATAGTAGAAAGTTAGAGAGAGAGGTCTCAGAAGATGAAATTAGGGAGGCCTTATTTCAAATGAACCTTAGGAAAGCTCTCGGGCTTGATGGTTTTCTAAATTTGTTCTTAGAGGGGAAGCTTCTCAGGGAGCCAAATTCTACACTCATCACCTTAATCCCAAAAACTGATCATTTGGAGGAGCCAAGCCACTTTAGGTCAATTAGTTTATGCAATTCAATTGACAAGATTATAGCCAAGTGTTGGCCAATAGGCTGAAACCAAAACTCAAGAACTTGATTTCCCAAAATTAAAGTGCATTTCAAGAAGGGAGGTATATTGGGGATAACATTTTATTCCTAGTATAGGGTGGAATATGGAGCTTTTTAAAAGTTGTGCTCCAAAAGTTGGGCATTGGTCAGAAATGGATAGGATGGATTATGGAGTGGGTGTCTACAGTCTTGTATCAAATCCTAGTAAATGGTTCTCATAGCCAAAAGATAATGCCTTCTAGGGGTCTCAGAGAGGGTGACTCAATCTCCCCTTACCTCTTTCTCCTTTGCTCGGTTGTGCTTTCTAAGATGTTTCTTAAGATGGTAGAAGATAAGAAATTTTCTGGTGTAAAGCTTAATCATGACTGTCCAGTAATCTCTCATCTGTTTTTTTTTTTTTCCAGATGCTAGTTTCATTTTCTCCAAGGCTGATCTAGCGGAAGCTCTGAAAATTTTGGAGGCAATCAATGCATATGAACAAGCTTCGGGTTAACAGGTGAATTTGAACAAATCTAAAGCCTTTTTCCGTAAAAATATCCATTACAGGATTCAAAACTTATTAGTTGATAATAGCAGGCATAAGTAGAAAAAACCCTTTGGTTATTTGGGTTTACCATCCCACTTGAACAAATTCAAAGTCAAAATGTTTGGCTTTCTGACTAAGAGGGTTGAAAGGAAAGCTCAAGGCTAAAAAAACAAGTGGTTGAGTCCAGCAAGTAAAGAAGTGTGGATCAAAGCTGTCTTAATTAAATGCAATCCCGACTTATAGTATGTCTTGCTTCCATTTACCGAAGGGGGTGTGTGGAAAGATCAAGAGATCTCAGAAGGACCTCTGGTGGGGGAAGGATAAGGATAAGAAAGGTGTTAACTGGATTAGGTAGAATCAGCTCAGCCGAAATAAGCTGACTGGTGGGATTCAACTTGTTTTAATAAAGCCTTACTGGCTAAGTTAGCATAGAGGCTAGCTAAGGGAGAAGATAGTCTGTGGGCAAATGTCATTAGGGCTAAATATATCAATAACAAACCTTTTCTAACTGCTAATTAAACTCCCTAGTTCAAGTTCGTTGGGTTGAAAAAGTATACTTGTGGGTAGAGAGATCATTAAAGAAGGGGCCTGTTGGGTGGTGGGGATTTTCATGGGGACAGGGATGGGGAGAGGCCCCCCGTCCCCGCCCTGCCCCGTTGCTATTTCTACAAATAAAGACATTAGCTGTTCCAAAAGGATTAGTTTTTGCTCGGGACCTCCAATGTCAGAATATAGTTGTAGAAAGCATGGTTTTCAAAACCGGATCGGACCGGACGGTTGGACCAGAAAACTGGGAATCGGTCATCTGACCGGTTCTATTTTCCTCCAAAACTGTTGATTTTGTTCAGTAAACCGCTGAACCAACCGGTTAACTATTTGAACCATTCAAACGATTTTGACCTTTCTCCAATTTTTAAATTTGTTTAAATTTTTTATCAAAATGGGCCGACCATTCAGATTGAACGGCCGGACTGTTCGAACCGGTAACTGGACCCCTGACCGGTTCAGTCACCGGTTCGTTTTTAAAAACCATGGTAGAAAGTGAAAACCACTGGCTCAAAACTTCGGAAAAGATAATCCTGATGAAGTCTACAATATAGTTAAAGACTGCCTAAGGTTGGCCTCTTCTGTGAATGTTGTCTTCTCCAATATCAGAAGAATTGCGAATGGTGCTGATCATGCTACTTAGGTGTTGACTGGTCTGTTGGTGTTTCTTTCCTATTTGTTGTTTCTTGTATTGGCTTCGGCCTTGCTATCTTTAATGAATTGACTTTTCTACAAAGAAAAAAGTAAAAAATAAACAAACCCACTTCCATCTACACACTCAACTTGACCTCATGATTAATTTAAGCCCGTTGCGTTGCTTCCTGCATGCACCTACTCCTTCCTGCCTCAGCAGATCGATCCTTATCGCAATACACGTCATTAGCCTTATCCGCAGCTGCATAAAAGCTCTTTACTAGCCACTGTTAGGCCAGTGTTTTGTTCATTTACTGGTTCTTTTATGTACCACTCAACTTTCCTTTTATTGCAATCAAATCAATAGATTAGAAATCTTTTCAGTCCTTGTCATACGAGACGCGACCGTTTGGTATTTGACGTGACTCAACTCAAGGCATTGTTTATGTATCATGCAGCCAACGAGACTTTAGAGTTTAGATCTGGAACATTCGACCACATGAAAAGGCACCCAAAGCCCTTGACTTCTCTCCAAGTTGCAGCGTCTACTCAGCACTGAACAGAAAAAAAAAGGACCCTGGACGCTTTTTCATGGACTGTGACTTCATCGTAGCTGCCATTGCAAGTGCACTAACTTTTCAAGTGGCGACTGTCGATGAATTATTTGAGGGAAAATTCTCCATTACTATCCTTTACTTTAGGTGTAGTGTCAGTTTGTTCCTCCAATTTTAAAATACACGAATTTTTAAAACATGACAATCCATTATCTGTTGTTAATTAGTTATTAATCAGTCATTAAGTAGTATTTGAAAAAATTATAAATGTTTTTTAAGTATTATCTAATTTTTTTTTATCAATTATCTAAACATTGACAAAAAAATTAAGTCTCAAATTTTTACCTTTTCTATCCAAAAATTTGGGGCCATCAGAATGCCCACTCAAACATGACCCTAACATTCTTGAATAGAAAAAGCAAAGATTTGGGACTGGTTAATAAATTAAATTAAATAACACTTTAAGGGCATTTGTGTCTTTTTCAAATTCCACTTAATGGCTGGTTAACAGATAATTAACAGCAGGTAATGGATTGTCATGTTTTAAAAGTTTGAATACTGAATTGTTGCATTTTAAAATTCAGTGACCAAAGTGGCATTAGACCCAAAATACAAGGTATTAATCCAGAATTTTTCCATTATTTTATTGAGAGACACCATTTGAGATTCTCTGTTAGCTTGTTTAATTGATTTGGACGAATATCTAATTTACAACCCTACAGTTCTTCAAATATGCACTCAATGTAGTTAAAGTTCTTCAAATAGCCAACCCAACTTACAACCCTACAGTCAATACACATTAACTCAGCTCAATGCAAAAGTGACAGTTAAAAGCATAAATGTAACAAAATCTGACACAAATATTACATAAAAGAAAAGAATATTTCTTTATATTCTTTCTCCCTTAATTCTCTAAAAGCATGCTGTACAAATTCATTTGGGAAAGTGATTAACTATAAATAATATAGAAATAAAAATAAGACAGAATGATAAACTTTTTCTTTGTAGAAGTACAAAAGATAAAAAGACAAAATAATTCATATTTCGTAAAGTTCTCAATACTAATGATAATCAATAGAATTGTAGAAAAGGTAAATGAATGTATGAAAGCTATAAAAAATGGCTCCGGATTCCTCAAACGAAAAATAATCAACCCCATATATAGCCTATAGGCAAGGTTCAAAGCATGGACACGTATCGGCCAGGTATCAACCTATACCGGCCGATACGTATCATTCTGGGACCCCTCTGATATATTCCTATAGTGCGGGTATCGGAGGTCTGACCAGTTCAAGGGTAGAGGAAAACTAATCCGGCCCCCCTGAATCAGTTGCAAAATAAAAAATACCTAAAACACTATCGATTTGCTTAATACATCCATACCGATGTATGAGACGTATCAATATTTTGAACCTTGCCTATACGCTACAAGAATATGATAATTCTATAAAACATAAAAGAAAGATTCTACAGCAATCAACAAGTTTATTGTTGGCTTTTCTCACGGTGACATTTGATTGGTCCCACCATGAGTATAGGGCGACGAATACAGGGGTTGCATAAAGTTGTCGTCAATTAACATTTCTGATTTTTCGTGAAGTGAATAATACCGTAGACCGTTGTTGTACAGGAGTCCTCGGTATATACACTCATTTATGCAGCAGCTTAGTCGATAATCTACGACCTTACCATTCGTTTACTGGTGTTTAGCCACGGGAGAGGGGTAGCCAAGATCCTCACATTCATTCGGCACTATATTGGGTCCTACTATGAGCAAAGGTATTGAAGAGTATCAATTACTCGAATAACCCTCCTGTCCTGGAAGGGAGGGAAGGTGGGTATTACCTGTGTGCTGATAATGCTCTCTCCCTCCCACCTCTCTCTTTACCCGAATAACCTCTAATTGCACAAAAATGCTAAAACCTCATTTACTCGAACAAGTTTTACCCAAGAAGCGCTTTTCCGGGTAAACGTAGGTGAAAATTAACGGGCCTAAAACCCGACTTGCGTTTAAATTTTGTTATGTCATCATAAAAATTAACATGCAGAGCTTAAATATTTGCTAAGGCTCAATTTGGAAGCAGTACAAATGCAACAGTGTAAATACATACAAAATAATACAAAATATAAGATTTTGCACTCCACATATTTGTATTTGTACTCCTTCCAAACTCAGCCTCAACATTTTTTTGACCTAAAAGATCTGAACCAAAAAAAATGAACAAATAAAAAAGTCCAAACAATTACTGAATTTCTTTTATTGGTAGATCAAAGTTCAAAACGACGTCATGTTTGAACTATGTAAAATTGTAAATTGAGATCAAATAAATAGAATAAACAAAGCGCATTCAAGTATTCCAAGAAAATTACAAAGTGTTCGAAGATTCCCAAGTATAACCAGGGGGAGACTGACCAGACTGAACAACAATTCAGGGTTAACCTGAACCATTTGGGGATGGGTTGATAGCCAAGATGATTCAACTATCTGGCCACAGGCCATCCTTAGCTTTGAAATACAAGTACTGCTTAATTTGATCATTTGAAAGGGCATAAATGGGATGAACAACATGTCTGAACAAGGAGAATTGAACGGTGGATCCAAGTTCCCAAGTCGTATATGTTGAGTGTTATCCAGTCTATAAATCCAGAGAACTCGGTGCTATGGACTGGTACAATTTAAAAGCGCCTTCTTTTGAATGGACATGCAGTATGAACTCCAGTACAAATAGAACACCAATATTCTCTTTGCATTACCATCTTTTTCCAGAAAATGAAGAAAATGGCTGCATTGTTGTTATATACATTGTCTGCTTCACGAGACCTCATCCATCAACTATCACAGGTAACAGTAGGAATCGTAACTAAGCGATGAATGTCAAAACGCATGCGGGAGGTTAAGATTGGAATCTAAAGTAGTAGATCCTTCATTTACGTTGGTTGAGCTGCACGATTGGAGCAATGGTAAAGTCAGAACAGGGAAACAAAATCAACTATAGAAACTTCAGTTGAGAAAAGAAAAGAAAAATATATTGGATGGACAAATACCTGAGATCGCTCAAAGCAGACATTCTGTATAAACAAGTGAACACAAGGAGATGCAACCCAATGGAGTAGAAAAATATGAAAGTACGGGCATACCTGCAATAAGACACTGGTCTTAAGTAAAGAGGCTTCATGATTAAAGAAAAAGAAACAAGAATATAGGAGTGCTTTAGTTTATGTGGTGCTTTTATGTATCACATCTGTGATAAAATCCAATTCCTCACCCAATATTGCTGTTATGGATCCTACGCATCCTAAGACCAGGAGTCGAGCACAATAAATAAGGTGCAGAAAATTTCAAGGCACAGTCATGAGTTTGTCCATAAACAATTATTGGGACCAATTATCTACCTGATTCACTACTTAAAGCCTAATATTGATCACAAACGTCTATTTTAATAGAACCAGATGTGTCTATAATCTATTGAATATCAATATATAGTATAATCGAATAAGAGAACACAAAAGAGATGACACATGCACGAATGAAATTTAGATTTGTGACCATAGTTGCAGCTGAAATCATGATGCAGTCAAAAGCCACACTGTCAGAATTAGGGCTGTCAACAGACTCTGAAAGTCTAAAATCTGTTTTGGATGCAAATTTAACTCCAATCCAATGGAACATGGAAGTTCCATTTTGATTTTTATGTTGAAGGAAAAGGCTTGGAAGGGTATTTGAATGGGAATGTTACTAAACCAACCAAGACTGATGCTAAAGCATTCCAATAATGGAAGCTGGATAATAGAAAACTTGTTTCTTGGATTCTCAACTCTATAGAATCCCATATTGCTGTACCTATGAAGAGGATGAAGACTGCCGATGAAATGTATACCTATTTAAAGAAAGTATATCAACAATCAAATATGTCCAGACAATATCAAATTGAATCAGAATTTTTTGCATATTCTCAAGGCATTAGGAAGATTCAAGAATATTATGCTGGTTTCCTTGATGTATGGGCTGAATATGAGTTAGTTCATATCGATTTGTCAGACTCTATAGAATGTCTGAACTATCTTCAGCAACATTGAGAAGAAAAAAGTACATTAGTTCCTAATGAGGCTTAGACCTGAATATGAAATAATTAGGTAAAATATTTTGAGCAGGGGTACCCTTCTAGATTTAGATTATGTGTTGAAAGAGATACTTAAGGAAGAGATTAGACTCCTCACTATAGCTGGATTTTAAGGATAAATGATAGAGTCCGGGGCTGAAATGGTTTTTATAGCTCATGGTAGCAAGAAATCATCCTCTAAGGACTTCTCCAAGGCCCAATGCTATGGTACGAGTCTGGTTCAAGGCCAATGTTAGCATTCTTTACTCAAACTCGGGGAGAGTATATACAGATGGGGATTTTTAGGCTTCCTTGAGGAGTTATGAAATTCAGTCTCAACATAGCTGCCTAGATACTCCTCAACAGATTGGTGTAGTAGAATGCAAGAATGGACATGCTCTTAGTGTTCAAGGACACTACTTTAGGAATCCCATGCTCTACCTTCATTTTGGGTAGAGGCAGCTAGTATAGCTGTGTACTTAATCAACTATCTTCCTTCTTATGTTCTTGATAATACCTCACCCTTTTAAAAACTCTTCGTTTGTCCTAACTTATTTAATCTTCATGCTTTTGGTTTGTATATGTTTTGTGCATATTCCTTCTCGTGAAGGTTCTAAACTTACTGCTCAGTTTACTATGTGTGTGTTAATGGGGTACAATCCTGACCACAAAGGATTCCTATTGTTATGATCCTACTATTCAATGTATTCAGATTTCATGAAATGTCATGTTTCTTGAATGTATCTCTTTCTTTGCTAGAGTTGCTCATTTATCTGCATCCTCTATCTCTATTTTGTAGAATTTTGATTCAGAGGATGTTCCTCCCTCATCTTCTTTGAGTGGTCTCTTTGTCTTCACCATTAAGCGGCTACATGTTCCAAACCCTATGCCTGCTACCCCCCTTCCATCTAGACTAGAACATCATCCTCCTAATCCTTTTGTAAGTGATATTTCTCCCTTTGGTACCTTTGGTTCATATGCTAGTTCTTCCATTCCTCTTCATTGTTCTACTTGTATTTCTTGGCCTCCTGACCATATGGTTTTCCTTTAAATCATAGTTTTTTCTCTATTGTTTTATCCTCCATAGATATTCATCATTCTTACCAGCAAACAATTGGAGAGAAGCTATGGATGCCAAGATTAAGGCCCTACATGAAAATGACACTTGGGATCCTGTATGTACTCCTCCAGATGCCTCCTTGTTGGGAATCGTTGGGTTTACACCATCAAGCTGAAATTTGACGGATCTCTTGATTGATATAAGGCTAGATTAGTTGCCCAAGGATATAGTAAAGAGTATGACATTGATTATGAAGTAACCTTTGCCCCAGTTGCAAAGATCACTATAGTCTATGTTCTCCTAGCATTGTCTGTTGTCCAATCATGGACCATCTACCAATTAGATGTGAAGAATGCCTTTCTTCATGGCTAGTTGAAGGAGACAGTCTACATGAAGCCTCCTCTTGGCTATTGTAGTGATCCTTCTTTGGTGTGTCGCCTAAAGAAATCTCTATATGGTTTGAAACAAGCTCCTTGGGCTTAGTTTGAGCGCTTTCGAGATGTTGTAGTTGTTGCTAGATATAGTTAGAGCTCCTTTGATCACTCTCTCTTTATTAGGCAATGACCTTAGGGTATTTACTGTTTTCCTGTTGTATGTTGATGACAGGGGTGGAGCCAGGAATTTTTTAGGGGGGGGACCTAAGTGGATTTGGGG